TGAGAGGTTGAGCTTTATTAGCTCCACCTTGCGGAAATTCCGGATACTATATTTTGCTTGTCGTATTATAGGAAAATTTACGGTAACTCGCGGTATTTACCGGTAGCTTGCGGTAGACTGCGTACAGCGTACTGGAAAATAATGCGGTATCGCTCGCGCATTTTGAATGGCTGCATCTGTAAATAGTTGTGTCAAAATGTGTCCAATAAAGAGTTATGATTGCATTTTATAATTGCAATGTGATATACCTTACAAAATAAAATACTATGTTTTGTGTTTAATGAGTCACTAGATACTATGTTTCACTCAACCATTCTGTCACTAAGCGTTTTTCAGGACCCTATGCAGATGATAAAATCTGTAAGGGAGTGCAACAAACACGAGTAAAAAAGACTAGGAGAACAGGGGGGTGTGTCGACGGTGCAATGGTGCTCAGGGGGGCGTGGCCAAGGCAAACAAGTCCAAAGGGGGTCCTTAAGAAAATCCATGGGTGAGCAAAAGTCCAGAGCCGGGTGATCCATCCATGACAAACAAGACAAGAGTTGAAATCCGGAGCGGGATCTGGCGAAGGGTTGGGGGAATAAAAAAGGGTAACGGGGCCAGCCCTGGACCCAGATGATCAAGACGCTGTAGTGAAACCTGTGCCATCGAGCACTCGCTGATAGGCAGGCTGCTGGGTATCTATCTTCCAAAGCTGAGCCTGGAATGTCATCTGGCTTTTAAAGGGAAGGGCTGGAACAGGATCAGGTGCAGGAAAATCAATACAAACAAGAAAGGGCTGGAGAGCCCTTAAGAGGAGGGGCTTATGATCGTGGCACATTTTGAGCCTGTATTCTTTAATTGTGAATTGCCCTCTCTGTGAATTTTCTAGGTTCAGTTTAATTGTAACATTAAGAAAACACCTTAACTTCATAATATGTTGTAGTTCTGTGTTCCATATTTCAATTTAGTAATCTTTCAGATTGAACTGTAAAAGTGGAAGTAATTTAATTTTAGGCAGAATTCAGTTCCATTGATATGTCCTGTAGTGATGTGTTAACATGGCCCCAGGCCATATATTTTGCCATATTCTCTATTTAATTTTAATAAGTCTTTTTAATATTATTTCGTGTTATTTGTCGGAGTTCTCTATTTACATCCTGGCCAGGTTGTCTTTGTAAACTGAAATTTATGCTCAGCTCATTTACTTCTTAAGTATGGGATTATTGTATTATGTTATTTTATACTAAACAACGTTGACATATTTTTCAGGTTTTAAAATCTCATTATAAACATGAATCTATTTATAAATGCCTTAAATGTTGTCAATGTATTTTTGAGATATGTTTGTGTTTCGAAATAATGGATTTCCATGCAATATCTTGCAAAAGTATTGACTCTATCCAAAGTTTCCATGACACTGATAAATCACTCTGTGTATGTGTAATTTACACAATTTAAAGTATCTAAAGTGGCTTTAGTATAAAAGTAACTATCTGTTATATTGTCACACAGATATTTAATTTGAAGCCTTAACACTGAGTGAAACAGTAAATAGACCATGAAGACCAGGCAGCTTTTGAAAGAAATCAGGGACAAAACCATATTTAATTATATAGTTACACATAGGGGGTTAAGACGTTATTAGTGTGATGACGAAGTAGTTATATAAATAGTTATAAATAATGTCAAATATATGTCCGAACATATATATTTTTTATACCCATATAACTTGAGTAATCTGAGTTCTTTATTGAGTTCTGGACAAACAGTAATTGAGTGAGAGACTGATTAGAAGCCACAAAAGGTTACACATACTGTATACAATGTTAAACCTAATATTATTTACATAAAATGGCATTTCAGAGGCCTATGTCTCTGAAAACCCGAATGACCAACCCAGTAGTCCGAAGTAACTGAGAATCTATGTTCCTTTTCTAAAAGTGCATTATTAAATATTAAACATCTTGTCTCCTATCTATTGATTTTAGGCTCTGAAAAGTGCTAAAAAGTGATTGATTACCATATTGCTACATAAAAAAGGTCTACCAGTCTGAAGGTTTTAATATTCTAATAGAAAGTGAGAGATTAATTTATTTTTGTGCTATTATTGTTTTCTAGATCTTGAACCCAAGCTTTTCCTTGCAATTGAACTAGGAGCTACACGCTCTCATCGAGGTAATATGTTATATAATCAAGTAAAAATACCAAATAGTTTATTATACATAAACAAGTGAAAACACCATTATTACCCTGTGATTATCCATTCAATTAATTTAGGTCTACAATTAAGTATATATGGTTTTACTGTATATTAATGCACAATGAATATTTTATAACAATATTTTATGTTTTACATTTTGTGCTCTTTGGGCATATTCTGTATACAATAAGTCTATTTCCATTTGAAATGGGAATTTGTTGACTGTTGGAATATTCAGCCTTTACAATAACAAATAACTGAGCTCAAGTTATGTGATTTCAGAAGAATATCATGTGTTTAGTGTCTGGTATTTTATTCAAGCTAAAATTGCTGAAACAGGTTGATAAAGATTTTCTACTTATTCTATAAAGATTATGTCCAGGCTATGACATTACCATGACTCACAGGGGAAGTTGTTTTCTTCAGAGAATCTGCAGTTTGATTGTTTCTTAAGCTTTCCATCACTTTCGTGGATCTGTCCATAAAACTTCCACCACTTTCTCAAAACCCATCTGATTCATCTTTGTGCTTCTGAGCAGATTCTGAGACACGGTGGAGGTAATGTCATGGCCTGTTTCAGAATCTGAGCTAAAACTCACCATGTAAGATATGTCTGTCATTTCAATTGTCTCCTGCTCTCCTCATCTAATCCAATAAGGAGAGACATAAGCCAGGTTCCACTGGACTAAGCATGGAATCAAGTGAAGGTACAGAACCTGTATTGCTGTGTAACCTGTGTTACCTGTATTCCTCTGAATATTTCATATAGTTCTCTGCATTGAAATTAGTTATCTGAGTTTTATCCTGAGTTTGTGTATTGCTCTGTTTCTGATCCCATCCTTTTCTTTACGTTACATTTTTGCATACCTATTTACCGGACTTTACTAAATGTTAGTAAATTACCTCTTTTGATGCAAACATATTTCAGCTTTCATAAGTTAGTGTCTCGATTTTAAGTAGCTAGAACTACCAGTACAACAATACATTAGAATCACAATTAGAATGTGAACAACTTGATGCATCTACTAAGTATAAATTATCAAACACTGATAATTTCATTATCATGTTTATGGATCTGAGAATCCTCATAAGAAGCATTTTAACTAGAATTTGTATTTGTTCCATTGTACTATTGCAAAAAAACAACTACTGTACCTACTACTCAGAAAATAATAATGAAAACACAGTGCAAAAAAGTGAAATATAATCTACTCTTTTTTTTTGTAAAGGGAGAAAAAGAAAAAATGAAATTGACATACCTTGTTCGAAGAAAAAGAAAAAGACTAAGGGACAGGAAACTGAAGAGCCCATCTATTCATGTAAGAGCCCTAAGAATTTGTATATTTCTGTGTGAAATAAAAGTCTGTAGATTGTATGTGGCATTGAAATGTTCACAGAGGGGCAGGAATTCCAGAACAAGCAGTGGCAGGTCAGCTAGTGTATCTCAACCCTGGTCCTCAGAAGTCCTGTGTCATCTGGTTTGTGCTGCACCCAAGTTCTTAATCCACTGGTAAATGGATTTCATTTTTTTACTTTAGAAATACAGTTCTGAATGTAGCTCAAATTGAATACAGCAGTGTTTTCCTTTTTTTATACAGTCACACTAAGACAGTCATACAAGAAAAAGCCAAAACAATAGCAGATATTCCAGCAGAAACAAACATCTACCAGATATTTTCTTAGTAGTTTCAGTTGTTTGTGTAGCAGGAGAACATTAAGTTTCTCAATGGAATGTCTGTTACCCAAAAAAAAGAGAATCATGAGTGATTGGAGCCAACTACTCACCAAGGCTGATAAGATAACTTTATTAGCCATATACAATTTCTTGCATCCTAATGCAAATTTGTCTTTTTACGTACCCCAGCTTGCTCTCCATGAGACACACAGGCAGGGAGAGAGAAGCTTGGGGTCAGCCATTTATATGGCACCCCTAGAACAGTTGGGGTTGAGGGACTTGCTCAGGGCCCAACAGAGTAGGATTCCACTGCTAGCTGTGGGACTTGAACCAGCAAGCTTTCAGCCACAGATACAGATCCAGAGCCACAGAGCCTGTGGCTAAACCCTGAAATAGTTATGAGATAGTTATGAGAACAGAGCCCATTGTTCCTTTCTCAGTGCACAAAATTCATAATCCTTTCTCATATGTTTTGCAATGTCTTCAGTGTCAGTGTCAACCAGGCCCTCTTCATGGTCTGTGGTCCTCACAGACCCACTTCTTTTGGAATCCCCTCTTTGGGTGCAAGCCTGTTAACCTGTGCCACTGTTAACCAACTGTGTTGTAAGATATGAGGCAGAATTGAACAAAAAAACTAAATTCCTGTTTCCTGAGACTCCTGCTGTCCCTGAACACCTGGAGGTTTAGTGTTCAGAACCACGGGCTTCCTGCAAGTGCTCAGGTATCTGGAACTGTATCTCTTCTGGCACACTGTCCCAGTGTAAGAGCTGTCCAGAATCTAGCCCCCCTTTTGGTACTCTCTCAGAGATCAGCAATCCCGTGAGCCCCCCAGTTGTGAGACAACACAGTGCTCTAGAAACAATACCAGCAACGGTATAAGTTCCAAAGACATATAGCATATATCATGTTGCTTATGTCAGCTTTTTTCCTACAGTATTACACATTAAGTGAAAGTGAAAGGCCTGTACTGCAGATGAGTCACATGCTGGATCATTCCTACTGCTTTAAAGAGGAATGTGATCTACCATTTAGTAGGACATCTTACATTAAAAATATAAAGTTATTGTGTGAGGACTAATTAAGTAATTATGAGATATAAAGTAATTGAATTCCAAAGAGCATTACTCACTATATGTAATCTACAATATGTTCTTAAATCACAGGTGGAGATGAAGCAAGAAAATGTGTCTCAGATACACTCAAAAAACTTGAAGCGGTATCTGACAGAGAAGGCTTTACCTTCTTCAAAGACATAAAGTAAAATCTTATGTTATATACATTAAAATAATATGAATGGCTTTGTATTAAAAAAAAGATAACACTCTTTAATAAAGACTTAACAAAAGCACCTTATTAAACATTTACTGTTGCATAGATAATGAGTGCTAATTATATATTAACTATTAACTTGACAGTTATGAACATCTACTTATATTCTTAATATAATGTGCTATAGAAACACACACTGCACATGTTCTTTGAAAGATCTGTATGTGCACATGAAATCCTTAGTTTAGTAATGTTTCAAATAACATGCTTGATTATGATTCAAAAAAACATTTCAGAGATTAGATTTTTGTTTAAATCCAATCGTCAATAGAACTAACATATCCATACTAACAATTATTTCTATTTACTTTTTTTTTTTTCTCGCAGGGAAAAGCTTTTGGTTTTGAAAAATAAAAATTTAACTGACAAAATGTATATTGGTGTTTTTGGAAAATCAGGAGTAGGAAAGAGTTTTTTAATAAATGCTCTTCTGGATGAAGAGTTTCTGCTGCCTTCAGGAAGTGGAGAAGCATGTACCTCTGTTTTAATTGAAGTGCAGGCAGACACAAATGCAACCAATTACAATGCGGGCATCGAGTTTATCAGCAAAAGCGTATGTACTTTTAATGATCAATTTAAAATTGTTTTAATATTTTCTCACATTTCAATTTACCTTGTATGTTTTTAGTTTTTTTTTTAAGTACAAAGAAATGTTAATCTTAATATCTAAATACTGGTTTTATTAATTTTAAAATGCTTTAGGATTTACACAAACCTGATACCTGAAAGCTCTTGTTAACCCATTGTTTTAAGTCAGTTTTTTCAAATTATGTGGAAATATTATGGATAGCTGTAACCTGAGCAAAATGTTTTCAGGAGTGGGAGTCAGATCTACGCTTTATGAAGGACATGATAGCTGATGAGGCCACTGAAGATGGAGATGAGTTGGAAGACATGGCAAGAGAAAAAATCGAAGCTGTTTATGGAAGCAAAGGAATAAACCAAAGCTATAATGAACTGCTAAAATCCCAAACACCCCAACCATTTCCCACCACACTGAAAATCTTCAAGGACAATGTAAGGAAATGTTATTTATTTTGTTACGTGCATGTGAGATACCATACTTCTTCTGAGATTTTTCTTTCCTCCCCTCTACCACCTGGCCCCAGCTTGGAGGACAACTTATTTCTTGTTTTAATAGTTACTCAAATAAGTGTTTCATGATTCTTGCATTCATTCCATTTATTTTCCTCTCCTCTAAATGTATTCTCCCTCTTTGATCAGGTTATTAATATGAACTGCATTCCAATACAATTTGTAAAAGGCAAGAGGAAAGACAAGAGATGATGAAAAGACAAAATGAGAGGAACAAAAAAGAACAATCACCTATATTCTTAGTGAGATTTGGTGCCATTCAAATATTGTTCTAGTGCCATGCTTGTATTCATTAAGTTCCCACTACAGACTCTATGATATTTTTCCAAATATAAAAAGCATAATCTTTGGACATTTTTGTAAAAATCACATACAAACTTGAATAAAATCAGTAGAAATTTTAAACCAATTCTTGTTTATTTTTTTCCTTCTGCAGGCATCTGATCTTTCCAAAGCAATAGGCTGCTATATTCGCAATGATGGAAGTTTCCCACAAAAGTACTGGCCTCTAGTGAAGAAGGTCACAATTAGTCTGCCTGCCTCTTCTAAATATCTTGATCGAATAGTGCTGATTGACCTTCCTGGAAGTGGAGACATCAATAAAGAGAGAGATGAGATGTGGAAAACGGTATAGAATTATTCTTATTTAACACTACTTGTCAAACCAAAGATATTTTAAAGGACTATACAACTACTCAATACATAATTTAAAGATAAATAATCATTGGCAATCATTATATATATATATGATATACAATATATGATATAAAATATATAAAACAACTTTGTAAAACAATAAGATCTCAGAACCAAGAGCAACAGTTGGAGAATTCATTACTCTAATGAAAATATCTAATATATGTGTCATATAAATTTAGGAGGTAAGTACAGACTGTACAATGAGATCTCACACTTTAAAACTTTTACCAGGGCCCTGCTCATTGATGGAAATAGAACAAATCAACAATTTTAGCTGGATTTCTATTCCAGTTCCTCTGTGCCCAAAGTCTCTCATACTAAAGGGGAAATGTGTGGACCTGGGGGGAACTATGAGATCAGGGTTAAGGCAAGAACAGTAAATACAGTTGTATGCAAATATTTTGGCACCCCTGGCCAAATGTTTTGTTGATTTTCTAAATGAAAAGAAGTAAACACAACCTCTGCAGTGAACAAACTTAAACTTGACATATCTCTGCAAATTGTAATGCACAGTTGCTATTTATTTGCTGAATTTAACAGATTGCAAAAATAAAAGTTAATGTGGCATGTGCAAAAGTTTATCAGTCAGTACTAAGCAACACCCCATTTGGCAGAAATCACAGCCTCCAAACATTTCTTGTAACCAGCTAACATTCTTTCTATTGCTGCTTTAGGAATGTTTTCCTATGTCATTTTTTTCATATGTAACATTTATTAATAATGTAATAAATATATAATTTAGCCATGGGTGCCCAAACTTTTGCATACAACTGTAACTATCCTATCCTGATCTGGACTATAATACAGCAGAGCATACTTTTCTTTCTCTAAATCTCTGTTGTTAGCCTACTGTTATTTTTTTCTATGCTTCCACAGCTGTGTGAGAATGCTGAGCATTAGCAGCTATAAGATTCCTTACGCATGGTGTTCAGTCTCTCCTGCGGCAGTGTTCCCTTTAAAGAATACTTTATAATTTATTAAACAAATTTCTTCAATTTGACAGTAAGGAACATTTAAACTGTACTTTATGTGGATAGCTTAATGAATGAATGTTTCTTAACAGTGTCTTAGCAAATGTGCATCGGTTTGGATTGTGAATGATATCACCAGGGCATTGAATGGAAAGGAATCAATCCACATTCTTCGGAACACTTTCCGAATCATTGCTGGTGGGGGAGAGTGTTGCAACATTGCTTACATTTGTACTCAAACTGATAGAATTGATCCAGAGGAATTCAAACGGTAAGCTATTTGTACTTGTTTTAAAATGGTAGTCTTTCGTATCACATTAGCTGGATTAGAAAAATAAAATATTTCCAAGATATACTAAGTATATTTATACTAAGTATATTTTTGCAGGACTCTCTTTAAAAGCCACAAAAAACAGAATATTCTTTGTTCTCAGATCTTTCTTTATAATAATTCTTAAATATCCATCCATTCATTTTCCTAACTGATTGTTCCAATTCAGGGTCCTGTGGGACCCAGAGCCTATCCCAGCAAGCAATGGTGCAAATTAGGATATACTCTGAACAGGACATCAGTTCATCACAGGTCAGACAGTTACAAATGCAGACATGCACACACTCACAATAATTTCCTCAGAAACCAATTAACCTACCAACATTTCTCTGGAACGTGGGAGGAAACTAGAGCACCTGGAGGAAACTCACATGAGCGTGTGGAGAACATACAAGCTTGAACTTAAACGGGCACAGTTAAGACATTAAATATACATATACAGTACATACTGTATACAGTACAGTTTGCATACAGTAATATGTTTATGTTCCTAAATCAATCTCTTTTATGAGCATGTGAAAGGCATGGTGAATCGATTCTCAAAAATTACTGTACTTTGCATGATTGGAAAC